CACAGACAACCTCTCGTCAATATGCGTTTTTTGCATTGCATTGCTGCAAAAAACGCATAAAAAAGAAAAAGTATATCGAAAGATTTGTCAATATGTGATTACTGTTTGCAAAACTGTATCACTCAGATATCTTCCCTAAAGCCCTGCTTCCATGAAGAGTGAAGCATGGAAAATTTGACTGCTGATTTGATCATAGCAAAAGCAAGTGACCTTTGTGCAGTGAACGCGAATTTGCACGATAGAAAGCAAGAATGTTAGCTCAAAGGTTTGTGGTGATTGTGTTATACAGAAGTGTACCGAAGCTAAACTACGAAGAAAACCGATTGGGCTGTTAGCATTTGGATAATGATAAAAATAGAATATTTCTCGACACGATGGCTTTGGCTAATGTTAGGTTCTTCGATTTTGAGTTGCACACCTTCAGTTAGTACTCAGCACCTGATCGATGAATATACGCTACCTTTTCTTGAACCATTCAGTAGTACTTTACTTCCTCGTACCACACTCTGTTACAACTGGGGTTCAACAAGGCAAGCAGCATCTCCCCATCTCTAACAGATTTTGCTTTCTGGCGTACTCACAATGACATTCTGCATATCGCAGACTTGACAAAGAGTGTGATTACTTCCACAAAAGAAACACAGCAAATGTCTTTAACCATATGCGCTCCTCACCAAATGTCCTTTGCTTTGAATTATCCTCCAAGCCCTGCTTCCATGAAGAGTGAAGTACGGAAAATTTGGCTATTGATTTGATTATAGCAAAAGCAAGTGATCTTTATGCAGTGAACGGGAATTTGCTCGAAAGAAAGCAAGAATTTTAGCTCAAAGGTTTGGAAGTGAATCAGTAACCCTGCTATCATAGGCGGTGTTGTCGCTCTCAGCTGTACTTCACATCTGTATTAATTATGTATACGATTTTGTATATGATTTTGTTTATAAATATTAGCGTTTCTTACAGTTGATGACGGGTTTTTCATAACTTATTATTTTTTACGCTTCCCAAGTTAAGCAACAGAATATTTATAGGAATATGTTGTGCAATGGAACTACCATGCTTGCACGGCGCTCATAGTTCAGCACAGCCGCCTTGAAAGCTACATGTCCGATACCCTTCAATACGTACTGCTTAAAATTAGTCTAGCAATAAAGACTTAGACTGCCCGAAACAGCCTCAAAGAAGGTGAGTCAGTAATCTTGCTATGATGAAAGGTGTTGTTACTCTCAACTGCACTTCACGTCCGTGTTAATTAAGGATAATGAGGGTTAGGACTAAACTGATGGGTGGATAGCTTCCGAGAGAAAGCTACCATTATCCTATTTTACTTTTAAATAAACGCGCCTTCACTCATTCATCATTCGCACAAATTTTTCATTTGCAGTTGTCATCATTTGCATAAATTTTTTCCCTTTTAACATTAATAATTGCCCATCTTTCTTATATATATTTGCAATGAATATTTACCATTAACGCCGTTCCTGATCAGATTTTGTATTTCTTTGATGTTTTATGCTGCCGATTCAACTTTTTGCGTTTTTCCATGCAAACGCGTTTAGCAACCCGTTCTGTTATGCCATTTATTTAAGTTAATTGGTCCAGGTTCCCTTCAGTGGTTTGTTGATACAAGTGAAAAATCAATGAAAACTTGTTTCGGGAGGGATGCTAACGCCAAAGCAAAACAACTTCCTGAATTCAAGTGCCAAAGTAAAGAGTGAAACACTCTTTTCTAACTCATTCTTTTTGTGAGATGATGTATTCGGAAAATAGTCCGACCAGCAGCATCAACTAGTAGCAATTATCTGCTGGCAAGATTGCCGCCGTCTCGCTCTTTTGAAGGTTGCTTACGAACAGACTGTCAACTCACTGGCATAAGCCGGTATAAGTTTATGAGTGAAATTTTCCTGGTTAATTTGCGCACAGCGATATCAACACATCTCACCTAATGTTATAGCACCATCGCCATCGCTGTCGTATTGTCGAAACTGTCGTTCTAACTCAGCTACAGTAGTTCGGTGTGCCGGTGGCGTACTCATATAGCGAATGAATTCTTCCTTGTTTATTGCACCAGTTCCTGCAAGTAAACAAATTCGTGGTGAAGACACGACTTAATAGTAATAATTTTACAGCGCAAAAGAATTATAAAATATAGAAAACAGATAAAAAATAATAGACCTCACAAAGGCCGAGGCTAATTTATCAGGTGGTAAAAAATTGCCTTGGACTGTGATGAATTTTTTGCCATGAAAAGTTCCACGCAATGAGGTATCTGCTCGAGAATGAAAAAAACCCTAAAACTTTCCAGCAAGGATCGAGAGAAATATTTTAAATGAAAATTAATTTCGTTTTCTGAAGAAATAAGCTCAGCAGCAACTTTTCGAGCCGCAGACAACTCATAATAGTTCTCAGCAAGATACCAGTGAATTATTGCAGTTCCGGGCTGATTTCGGCGATAAGACAATGCACACTACGAAGAGTTGGGTTGGTCATGTATGAAGAATGAGAGGCAACAAGTGGACAAAGCAGATTACTGAGTGATAGTTACGAGATATTTAAACACAGGATATGACCACCAGTATGACAAAAGAATCGTTTAGAACGACCAAATGGAATTATATGGTGGAAACGCCTAGAAAAGAAACTTGGAAGAACTATTCGCTGCATCAGTGGCAAGAAGGAATGTAGTGGTGAAGCAAGAATTGAGTAAAGTTTTAAAGCATTATGCTTAAAAATTTGCTTGATAATTTTTGCTTGTCAACTTTTATTATTTTATCGGAATTCTTTCGCCAAAATAATCTGAAATTATGACTTTATCAGATTTTTTCAGCTGTTCCCCTTCGAAAAGTTTATCTTTCTCATGGTAGCACATCTCTTGGCTATTGCCTTGCTCGCTGGTGACATCCTTATTGCTTTTGTCCGTGGCTTGTATATTAGTTTACAATACCCTTAGGAAACGAAGGGCTTTCAAGTGAGAGGAGAAATGATCTCTTGTCAGAATATGCCCAAAATTTTGCGGAAACTTCCTTATATGCCATTTTTTAAAACAGCCACGGATATTGATTTGCTGTCTGGACTATTACACTTTTAACAGTAAAAACCATTGGACATCAGTGCTTGGTTTTTTTTTTGCAAGTGCTGTTCAAAGATGCAAAACTGAATGCGGTTCGAGGCATCGGTATCTTTGAGCAGGGCGAGAGAATCGAATCTTTCTTAGCGGCAGTTTTGAACCAGAGGTAATTACCATGAAATCGGAGAGTAACAGAGCTGTGTGTCACAGACCTCTGCATCACCGAATCAAAAAATTGTCATACATAACAACCAATGAAAGACAACAGACGAACAAAGCGGATTATTGGATTTTACCAGAGCAATGTTAAGAGGGCGCAGGAATTTGCTTGAAGGGTTATACGAAATAATGTGAATGAAAAAAGTCCAAAATAAAGAAGAATGGAAGCTGCCAGCTCTATCGTTGTTGAGAAATGCTACAATAAAAAAAGGCTGATCAAAAAACAAATTGTACAAAAGAAAAAAAAAACAACCAATTTAGTTTCTTGACAACCAGTTTAAAAAACAACCAATTATTATTGTCTTTCTCAAAATGCAAAATCGCTTTTGTAAACTTCAGAACAGAAGCTCATTAGTAGTACTGTTGCTGGAAAGCGCAAAAGAGAATGTGAATGAGAAAATCGAATAGAATCACATGGAGCAAAGCCATACGTTTCGAATCCATTTCTTGGAAGATGAAATCTAGCTCCATCCTTGTTGGTTCTACTTTGATAAGCCTCAACAGGGCTGCTATTTCACTTCGACTCAGTCTTCCATCTCGGTCAATGTCCAACTGATCGAACGTCTCACATAGCTCTGGAATCAGAGACAGGAAAATTAGGAAATGTGCACATAAAAGTAACTTGGAAAGTTTTAAGTGATGGCCGCTAGAACCATTGTACGATCTGTAATGTGTCTGAGGCACTGCTGATAATGACAGCAAGAAACTGCGAAAGCGGTAAAAAGATGATAATCATGTGACAAGTGTAAGATGATCAACTGGTTGCCTTTTTTCGGCGACATTACCACATTTCCGCTCGCCCTCTCAATTTTAAGCCCTAAACCTGCTCCATAGCGACCATTATTGCCATCTGATAAAATGTGAAATGTTAGCGTCTTTTGCATTACAGCAGTGTTTTTGGAAAATTGCCCGGGAATTGTTGAATTAAAACTGGTAGGCTAGTATGTGACCTTTAAAGTCTTACCTAGATAGAAGCGCGTAGTAGCACGGGCTCTTTACATTGAATAACAAGCGCACTGATAGATCAGTGCAATCATGCATGCCTTCCCGGAATGTAATCCTGGCCAAGTCATTGATTCGGTTCACTAATTATTCTTACGTCTGTCAGAGTAGCAGACTTGTAAAACAAGGAAGTTTCTGTCTATTCGCTTGCCTGCCTCTCAAAACATTTTCTCCTGTCAATTCATCTGAAGAAAAAATCTCCCTTGAACAAGTCAGTTGCCGAGCAAGCGTTTTTCTTTTGATTCAAAAAACACGTTTTTCTGAAGTTTTTATTTCCTCCTCCCCCCCCCCCCCCCCCCCCCCCCCCCCC